TTGCTCAAGCCAACTTTCTCGAATTGAATCAGTTGATTCGAAAAGTCCGAAAGCTCTTATTGGAAGCCAACACCCAATTAAAAGAATCAGAATTGATATCGGTTTCAAGAAACGCATGGCCCGTAACCGTTATGAATGAAGCAAGCAAAATTCAAACGTTCATTAACGATTATTGAATTATCTTAAAGAGTTGCAAGTCCAACTCCCAAAAACGCATCAAAATTTGATGATCTCTAAGCTTGATTTGAACATCATTTGCGGATAGGGTCAAATGCTCTGTAGTAAATGGGCCTGATCTGAAGGTCCTTCCTTAACTCTTTGGAGGGTTTTCTATGAAGTTTTTCAACACTTTCCGCTTCCACACCGCTGCTCTACTGCTCTTGGCTTTTCTGTTCGCTGCAGGGACATACGCACAGGAGAGTGACTCCACTGCAAAGAAAAAAAGACGGGGACCACTGCCGTTTTACTACGGAAAATTAGGAGTCAGCGACACGCAACGAGAGAAACTGTACGACATTCAAGATTCCTACGAAGACAAACTGAAAGCACTGCGAATGGAGATAAAAAAACTGCTCGCTGAACGTGAGACTGCCATGCAGGAAACACTGACTCCAGGGCAAAAACTTCGGTTACAGGAACTCAAAGCCGAGGCAGAGAAAAAAGCACCAGCAGGCAAAAAGCCAGCTAAAAAAACAGCCTCAGAAGAATAATCAACTGGACGAACTTCAGAATCTTTCACGGCGAATTCGGTCATCACCGGGTTCGCCGTTTGCGTTGCGGTTGATTCAACGGATCGCCACGCGATCGGTATTCTCGCTGTATTGATCTCCTTGTTGAAAAAATGATCTCATTTCGTGTCAGGAATTTTTCTTTTTGTTCGCTCTGTCTTGTAGAGGCACCTGAATGAGGAGAATTTGTTATGCTGCCGATGAGACAGAGTTTCAATTTGCCCCTGCCGAGAGGGGGCGTTGTCATCAAGGACAGACTGGATGGAAAAGTCGTCACAGACGACAGTTCAACTACAGGCACTCCTCGACCGCCAGGACGAGCAGGCGTACGAAGAGTTGCTGACCATCGCTGCCGAACGGCTGGAAAAGCTGGCCAGAAAGATGTTTCGCGACTATCCCCGACTGAAACGATGGGAGCAAACAGACGATATCTTTCAGGCAGCGACCCTGCGGTTGCACCAATCTTTGACCAAGGTCAGACCGGAGTCGGTTCGACAATTTTTCGGGCTGGCAGCGACGCAAATTCGCCGGACTTTGATCGATTTGGCTCGCAGCTACTATGGCCCCGCAGGCACGGGAGCCAATCATGATTCAAGCCCTCAGCACGTGCAAGGGGACAGCGAACAAGGGGACAGCGGAGAGTCTCCAGACAAACTTGCGGAGTGGGCGGAATTCCACGAGCAGGTTGAAAACCTCGCAGCAGAAGAGCGAGAGGTCTTCCAACTCCTCTGGTACTCAGGAACCACACAACGCGAAGCTGCCGAACTCCTCAAGCTTTCCGAACGAACTGTTCTCCGTCGTTATCAGTCAGCAAAGCTCTCGCTGCAAAAATCGCTGTACGGCAACTCCTAACCGGGACAATCTCATGGTCGATCAGGGTTTAATCGAAGAATTGCTGGTCGATTGGTCATTAAAGCGAGCCGATGGGCAGGAACTCTCAGCAGAGGAATTGGGACAGGAGCATCCTGAACTCATTCCAGAGCTCAAGCAAAAGATCAAGGACCTCAAGCAGATGGACTGGATCGAGAGTGAGAGTTCTGTTTCTGCTGCACGATCGACCCCTTCAGCAAAACAAAAGGAGGGAGACAAAGGTTACATTGAGACAAATCTGTCTCTGGACGAGTTTGTTGATCAGTTGATTCAATCAAATCTACTCTCGGCTGATCGCGTCAAAAAACTTCAGCAACAAAGCAAAGCGACTTCGGCTAAAGGATTTGCCAGTCAGCTGATTAAGCAAAAGGAACTGACAAAGTACCAGGCAATCGTCATTCTCGAAGGGAGGGATCAGCCATTGTTTCTCGACCGCTATTTGATTCTCAATGAAATTGGTTCCGGGGGAATGGGTGTGGTCTATCAGGCGTTGCATCGCAAAATGGACCGGGTCGTCGCGATTAAAATCTTACCGAAGGCAGCGGTCGATACACCCGAAAAAGTCAAACGGTTTCATCGCGAAGTCAAAGCGGCGGCTCGCCTGGAACATCCTAACATTGTCACTGCCTTTGATGCTCATGAATCAAATGGCATTCACTATCTGGTGATGTCGTATGTTGCGGGCAGTGATCTGGCGAAGCTGGTCAAGAAGAGTGGTCCGGTCTCTCAGTCACTGGCTGTTGAACTTGTCATTCAGGCGGCTCAGGGGATTGCTCACGCCCATAGTAAAGGAGTCATCCATCGCGACATTAAGCCTGGCAATTTACTTCTCGAAAAGAATGGTGAAGTCAAAGTCCTGGACATGGGTCTGGCCCGGATGGATGGCCCATTCTCTGCAACAGGGAAAACGGTTTCCGAAGACCTGACCCACTCAGGGATGATCATGGGAACAGTCGCTTATCTCGCTCCCGAACAGGCCGCCGATACACGGGAAGCGGACGCGCGGAGCGACATCTATTCCCTTGGCTGCACTTTGTATTACTTGCTCACAGGACGCCCCCCTTATCGAGAGGAAACAATGGTAAAAACGATGATGGCTCACCGCGATAACGACATCCCCTCGATCATCGACAGCCGTAAAGATATCTCTCCTGGGCTCGATATCGTCTTCCAGAAAATGGTTGCCAAAAATCCAGATGATCGCTTTCAATCGATGGAAGAAGTCATCCTGGCCATGAAGCCGCTGCAAACCGAAGCTCCATCCACTGATCAGCCAATGCAAAACTTTTTGCAGTCTCTGGAAGAGACCGGGAAGTTCCATGAAACCAGTCGCGAGTTTCCGTCGTCAGCATCATCTTTGCTCAAGGCTGAACCAACTCGAAAGAATCGTCATTGGGTTGCATTGGGGGCAATGATTTCATTTCTATTTTTCGCTGGCCTACTCATTAGGTTGCAAACAAAGGAGGGCCTGCTCGTTCTCGAAATGGATCAACCTGAATTGGCCGGGGCCGTTGTCCAGATTGATGGTGAAAATCGGATCACGATCAAAACGGGAATGGGTGAAGAGCAGATTGAAATCAAACCTGATGCAACAAAACATACCTTGAAGATCACTCAAGATGGTTTCGAAACTTTTGCCAAAGAATTCAAATTCGAAACAGCAGAAAAAAAGACGATCAAGGTCTCATTAAAGCCACTTCCTGTAGTTGGAGACGATGAAGATGGTTTCTTCGATGGCTTGGATGTCGTAGAGAACATGAAACTGCCAGATTTAGAGGACGTACCTGATCTGGAGAACGTCGAACCGCAGCCGAATCTCCCTGCGGATCCAGACGCTCTCTCAAAAGGAGGCATTCCTCTCCCCGGAGATGGCGAGCACCCCAACTACTCGCTCTTGTTCGACGGTGTCGATGATTATGTCATGTTCGATGAAAGCTTTCGGTTCGATCCAAATGCTCCTTTGACCATTGAAGCCTGGGTTCGGTTCGATGGAAATACAAAAGGGAAGTATCAAACAATCCTGAGTAGTCAGCCGCATCGATTTGGAATGCACAACGGTAAAAATAAATGGCAACACTACCTCAAGGATAATATCAATTCAGGAGCGAGCCAAGGAGTCGTCAGAAGCGGAAACAATCAAGTCAAGTTGGGACAGGTGCACCATTTTGCAACAGTCTGGGAAGGGAATGCCAAAGGCAAATCGTTGAAGCTATACGTCGATGGACAGCTAAAAAGGATGTTGGAACTTAAGGTCCCTCTTGTCTTTCAGAAAGACTCTGGCAGAGTGCACTTCATTGGCATGGAGGCTCTTTATAAAGGCAGACTCCCCTATGGTTTAGTTCGTGGAGCCATCGATGAAGTCCGCCTGACGAGTGGAATTCGCTATGCAGCTGATTTTACACCCGCGACACGATTCACCCCCGATGAACAGACTCTGGCACTGTTCCACTTTGACGAAGGACACGGGGACGTCCTCAAAGATTCCTCCGGCAATGGACACCACGGCAAAATCTACGGAGCCACCTGGGTGAAGGGGGAAGAGAAGTAATTCATCTTGATCTATCAAATGACAACCGAAAACCGGTGTGACCTTGATGACAATTTAACTGAGTTGCGTAAAATAAAGCATAATTATTAAGGTTAAATCAGAGAGATCTCAACATGTCTACATTTGTCGCCATCGGTTACGACGATCCACACAAGGCACATGAAGTTCGACTTGCGCTGGTCAAGTTGCAGCGAGAGTATCTCATTGACATGGAAGATGCTGTTGTCGCTGTCAAAGATGAAGATGGCAATGTCAAATTGCACCAGGCGGTCAACTTGACCGCTGCGGGGGCCGTGTCCGGTGGATTCTGGGGAACGCTTATCGGAATGTTATTCCTCAGTCCTTTACTCGGAGCCGCCGTCGGCGCTTCCGCTGGAGCTTTAACCGGTGCTTTGGGTGACATCGGAATTGATGACAACTTTATGAAGAACCTCGCTGGGCAATTGAAACCGAATTCATCGGTCTTATTCGTGCTGGTTCGTAAGGCAACTCCCGACAAAGTTGTGGAAGAGATCAAGCAGTATGGCGGAACAGTCTTGCAAACCTCCTTGAGCCATGAAGATGAAGCGAAGTTGCAGACTGCACTCGATCAATTGAATTAACTGTCAGTGTGAATTTCTGAGAGCCACTTAGATCTGCTGTTCAACCAAACCTCTTTTGATTCAATCGCCAAGCCCCAGCATTTTCATCTCTTTAGAAGCGAACAATCCATCAGCCTTGTTCCAGCTCACATCCGTATTGCATGAATCGTTTGCTCTTCTGCCCAACTTGGCATGAATAACAAGCTGGTTTATACTCGTGACCACGATAGTTTCGTGTGAGTACACAAACCAGTGGAGCAGTTGAACACGACGATGAATGAATCTCAACGTATTGCCAAGCGGCACCGCCGTACGCGAAAGGATCACGCCAGTGAAACTGCGGAAGATTACGTTGAAGCCGTTTCTGAAATCATCGAAGAAGAGGGAGCATGTCGAGTTGTTGATCTAGCGAAGCGATTTGATGTCTCACATGTGACCGTGACCCGTATTATCAGCCGATTGCAGAAAGAGGGTTATGTTACTACCGAACCTTATCGACCAATTGAACTCACTGATGCAGGTCGCAAACTAGCCAAGGACTCAAAAGCTCGGCACGAAATCGTATTCAAATTCCTGGTTTCACTAGGTGTTCCTCGCGAGATCGCTGAAATTGACGCGGAAGGACTGGAACACCACGTCAGTGATCAAACACTTCAGGTCTTTCAAGACTTCTTAAAAGGCGAAACGATCAAGGGAACGCTCGACTAAAGCGATTCTTGTTGCTGCATGGATGATAAGGAAAAGTCATGGAATCTGCTCACTCGGTTCTCGAAATCGATGGACTCAAAACCTATTTCGATTCTCAAGATGGTGTCGTCAAGGCTGTCGAAGACCTCACTCTGACACTCAAAGCTGGTCAGACCATGGGACTGGTCGGAGAATCCGGTTCAGGGAAATCGGTCACTTCACTTTCTGTCATGCGTCTCTTACCTGAACGGGCCGCCACCATCGCTGGAGGGAAAATTTCTTATCTGGGCAAGGATTTAGTCCAACTCCCTGAGAAGGAAATGAGGAATCTGCGGGGGAGCGACATCAGCATGATTTTTCAAGAACCGGGGACGAGTCTCAACCCTGTCTTCAAAGTCGGGATCCAGGTGACTGAGGGTATTCGCCGTCACCAAAAGGTCTCTTTCAAACAAGCAAAAGCCCGCACAATCGAACTCTTTAACGAAGTTGGAATTCCCGAACCGGAACGTCGCTTCTACAGCTACCCTCACGAGATGTCCGGCGGACAAAAGCAACGGGTTATGATTGCCCTGGCACTGGCCTGCAATCCTGAAATTCTCATTGCAGATGAACCAACGACGGCACTCGATGTCACTATTCAAAAACAGATTCTTGACCTTTTGCGCGACTTAAGAGATCAGCGGGGCATGTCAATTCTCTTCATCACACATGACCTTGGTGTCATTGGAGAAATCGCTGACGATGTCGCTGTCATGTTTCGTGGCCGACTGGTGGAGCAGGGTCCCGTCGAACAAATTTTCGCCAACCCACAACATCCCTATACGAAAGGTTTACTCGCTTGTCGTCCAAAGTTGGAAACGACATTGCGTCGCCTTCCGACAGTCAGCGACTTCATGACTGCTGTAAAGCTGCCTGATGGCAGCTATGACATTCAAGAGAAGGAGATGTCAGCCGAGCGACTGAAAAAGCTCTCGATGACCGGGCGCGGTCGCTATCTGCATCCCAAAAGTGAACTGAAAGAGATCGGCCACCCCTTTGATGAAGTCCAGGAACAGTCAGATGTTCAAACTGCTCCCGAGGGTCAAAGACCTTTACTAAAACTCGAAGACTTAAAAGTCTATTATCCCATTCGTAGCGGACTGTTTCGCAAAGTGACTGACCATGTCCGCGCGGTGAACGGCGTCAACCTCAAGGTCTATCGCGGGCAGACTCTGGGACTCGTCGGCGAATCTGGCTGCGGAAAAACAACCATTGGCCGGGCCATTGTACGTCTCGTCGATATCACAGAAGGCAAAATTAAGTATGACGGCGTTGATATCACCTCGCTGCGTGGAGAAACTCTGAAAAAGTACCGCAGCAACGCACAGATCATTTTTCAGGACCCTTACAGCTCATTGAATCCAAGAATGACCGTGGAAGGGATGCTGACCGAAGCGATGGCTATCCACGGCATCTACAAGAAACGCTCCGAGCGTCGCCAGCGGGCAGCAGAATTGTTGGAGGAAGTCGGTCTCGAAGCGAACCATTTGCGCCGCTACCCTCACGAATTCTCAGGAGGACAACGTCAACGCATTAGTATCGCCAGAGCACTCGCAGTCAAATCCGAGTTTATCATCTGTGATGAATCGGTATCAGCACTCGATGTTTCTGTTCAGGCTCAAGTTTTGAATCTGCTGAAGGATCTTCAGGAAGAATACAAGTTAACTTACGTCTTCATCAGCCATGACCTTTCCGTTGTGAAATTCATGTCCGATATGATGGCAGTCATGAATGCCGGGGAAATTGTTGAATTCGGACCTTCTGAAGCAATTTATGAGAACCCACAACAGGACTACACTAAGCGGTTGATCTCATCGATCCCCAATGATTCATTGGAACTGATCCGAGAACGCGTCGCCAACCGCAGGGCAAAACGAGGTGAGTGATCTCAAGCACAAACTGAGGGGTAATTGAGATTCCGCCCGGTAAAGAAATACCATTCCGCATCATGATCGCATATGATCTGTTCTCGCTCTCGTAGTTGCCAAGAAAGGTCTATCAGTGAACGCGGCTCTTTCCATCCTCATGATCGCTGCACTATCAGCGACTCCCGCCAAGTTAACGACTCTCGATGGTGAAACGTTCGATGGCGACATGATTTCGCTGAATACTCAAACCATAGAATTTGAGATTGCTGGTGATGTGCGGTCCATTCCAGTCGAAAGCTTAATGCGTCTCGACTTCCAGGTAGATTCGGCAACAAGTCCATCCGCCCCTCCTCAAACTGTCACACTGGTTGATCAGACTCAACTTGTGATGTCCAATTTAAGTCTGACTGACAAAACAATTTCGCTCTCATCCAATTTGTTCGGAACGCAAGAAGTCGCGCTGGGGAGCGTCAAGAACATTAGTTGGGGGAATCTGGATGAGAAGGTGTCCGAAGCTTGGGCAGATTTGAAAGCTCGGGATGTGCGTGATGATCTACTTGTCTTTCGCAAGGAAGATGTCCTCGATTACGTGGCTGGCTCTGTCGTTAACATTTCCGAGAAAGGGGTGACGGTCAATGTACGTGGGCGAGACTTAACTGCCCCGCTGGAACGTGTCTTTGGTGTCCTGTTTGCCAACCGCTCTGCACAAGATACACCCGGCCTGGGGATTGTCCGCACTTCATCGGGTGATCGTCTCAAAGTGTCGGAACTGAATCTGGAAGAGAACGAATTAACACTCACAACGTTAACGAACCTGAAACTGAAATTGCCTCTCACCAAGATCCAGGACATCGATTTTGGTGGAGGAAGAATCCAGTATCTGGCTGATTTGCCGTTTGATGAAAGTGAATCGACTTCACCGGATGAAGATTTTCCAGTTGTCTGGTTCACCGCCCGTAACTTTCCTGCTGGGACAGGGGGGCGTCGTCAACTTATGGTCGATGGAGAAACCTACCCCCGCGGCCTTTGGCTCCATTCGGGGGCACATATTCGTTTTCGCTTAAACCGGGAGTTCACAGAATTTCGAGCCATCGCTGGATTCGACCAGACGCACGTTGGACGCATGCCTCGCTTCAATCCCAAGGTCAAGTTGATCATCGAGGCCGATAGTGAACAACTTTATGTAAAAGAGTTTTCCTGGGAGACACCTGCTGAAAAACTGAATCTTGATTTAAGTAATGTGCGGGAACTAGTGATTCGCGTAGAATCTTTAGGAGATGCCAAGGGCATCTTGGAGCACTTCGCCCTCGCAGATGCTCAACTGATCAAATAACCGCCTGACAAAGTCACGACGAACATGCGATTCATTTTCCAGAGAATGAGCCTCATTGCCTGTGCATTGCTCTGTTCTCTTCACCCCATTCAATCCTCGTCGGCTGATGACTCCCTCGGCACGGCAGCATCAGATATTTCATCAAGTATTTCAATTCCGCAAATCGTTCTTAATGCAGAACGACAGAGAATTGAAACCGTCAAGAAAGTTGCAGAAACCGTTGTCGCGATTTTTGCCCCCAAAGGTCAGGGAGGTGGTTCCGGCGTTCTCATTTCTTCAGATGGCATCGCAGTCACCAATTTTCATGTCGTGCAAGGCTTAGGCGGCTTCATGAAATGTGGACTGAATGACGGGAAAGTCTACGACGCTGTCTTGGTCGGGATTGATCCCACAGGAGATGTCGCCCTGATTCAACTACTGGGACGGGAAGATTTCCCATTCGCTGAGATCGGTGACAGTGACACCGTTCAGATGGGAGACTGGACTTTTGCCATGGGAAATCCTTTTCTGCTGGCAGATGACTTTCAGCCAACGGTCACCTACGGCATGGTTAGCGGCACACACCGCTATCAATACCCCGCTGGAACCTTTCTTGAATATACTGACTGCATCCAGGTCGACACATCGATTAATCCCGGGAATTCGGGAGGCCCCTTGTTCAATTCCAATGGTCAATTGATTGGAATCAATGGGAGGATCTCAGTCGAGAAACGTGGTCGCGTGAATGTCGGTGCAGGCTACGCCATTTCCATTAATCAGGTCATGAATTTTCTCGATCATCTCAAAAGTGGTCGTGTCGTCGATCACGCCACTCTCGGTGCCACGGTCACCAGCACTGCTGAAGGAGCAGTCGTCGTCTCCCAAATTCTGGATACTTCAGCAGCTTATCGACGCGGACTGCGGGAAGGGGATGAACTGATCTCGTTCGCAGGCCGACCACTGCGCAGCGTCAATCAGTTCAAGAACATCCTGGGAATCTATCCGAAGGGCTGGCGTGTTCCGTTGTCATTTCAGCGAGGTGCCAAAAAGTTTGATGTGACCATGCAACTTGCGGGCCTACATCGTGCATCTGAATTGTCAGGCGGTCCCCCGACAGCCCCTCCGAACCCTGATGAACCTGAAGACCGCCCGCCGATTCCTATTCCCCTGCCACACATGGAGCAGCCGAAGCAACCAGAACTGCCGGAAGAATACAAAAAGCTCTTCGTCGAAAAGTCTGGATATGCCAACTACTATTTCAATGCGGAAAAGCAAAAATTGCTGCTCCAGCAACTGGAAGCATGGGGTGACTTTACTGTGCAAGAAACAGTCTGGGCCATCGACTTGAAGGCAAAGTCAAATGAGACAATGCAGGTTCGCATGCAGCAGGATGCTATCGCTGCCAAGTTTGCTGGTGAGTTTTCTGTTCTGCAATTAACAGAGGAATACACAGATGCTCCGACTGGATCGAATGGATTCTTGGCAAGTCTTGAACAATTGCGGCAGATGCTGGTTGATCCCGATGATTACTTTACTGAACTCTACTACGTTGGCAGCGAGCCACTTGACGGTACAGGGGAGCGAGTAGATGTCTTGCTGACCACAAAAGGTCTCTCAACCACTCGCTGGTATTTCTCACAACAGGATCAGCGACTGCTCGGTTTTGACACAGCGATCGACCAAGAGCATGATCCTTGCCGCATCCGCATTGAAAAGACAGCCTCCTATGGACCAGTGACATTTCTGTCACAATTCAACGTCTACGCAGGACCGACAGACTGGGCTGAGTACGAGGTCACCTC